CTTCGCAAAATATTGACAATTGACAGCAATTGGCAAAAGGAAGAGTCTATTTAAGAATCTTGGGGTATTAATTTCTTTATAAATAATTGTAATTACTGCTTTGGAAGTAAGAATATCTGAATTTTTAGAAATTCAAAGAATTAGAAGGAATTTTTATGATGTAGATATTTCATATACTAAACGATAGATAAACTATTAAAGGATATAAGATTTAGGATTCGTGATAGCTTAGGTTTAACTCGCGAGCTGTTCGCGAATTAAATTGTAGATACCATGCAAACTCTGTTCGCGAATTTTTCAGAAATTGTTCGTCAGTTTTTCTATTTACGAATGAACGATTTATAGTGTGTCCAGTGTGAACTGAATAATGAGATGACTAGTGGAAGGTGGTTTTTAACGTTAGTACCGAAGCGTTGGCAAGGTTTTAAACTTGATGAGGTTATGAGACTGGATATTGCCCATTTTTGGTAATGCGTATATCGCAACATTGTTGTTCTCGAGATATTAGTTATTTTGATAATTATCTTATCGGATATGTTTTTATCTCGAGTAGCAAGATTAATTCTATCGGTTATTGAACCTAAAACTTGAGTCAGAAGGTAGGATAAAAGTGTCATATTCTGCTTAATAAGAGATATTGTAAATAAGTTAATCTTACGATCTTTTTATGGATTTGTACAAACAAAAGAACGAAAAGTCGTTTCGAAATTTACGATAGATTATATGGATAAAAGAGTTTAATAATACGGTGAAAACATTAGTATCGGCAATTCGAATGTTTCGCTATACGATCGATCCTCTATTCTATTGTTTCATTATTCGATCGTTCCACTGTGCGATCATTCCACTGTTCGATGGTTCCACTGTTCGATGATTCCACTGTTCGGTGGTTTCACTGTTCCATCGTTCCATTATTCGATGGTTCCACTGTTCGATGATTCCACTGTTCGATGGTTCCATTATTCGATGGTTCCACTGTTCGGTGGTTTCACTGTTCCATCGTTCCATTATTCGATGGTTCCACTGTTCGATGATTCCACTGTTCGATGGTTCCATTATTCGATGATTCCACTGTTCGGTGGTTTCACTGTTCCATCGTTCCATTATTCGATGGTTCCACTGTTCGATGATTCCACTGTTCGGTAGTTCTATTATTCGATCTTTCCAATGTTCGATCGTTCCATTATTCGATCGTTCCACTGTTCGAGGGTTCCACTGTTCGAGGGTTCCACTGTTCGAGGGTTCCACTGTTCGATCGTTTCATTATTCGATCGTTTCATTATTCGATCGTTCCACTGTTCGATCATTCCACTGTTCGATGGTTCCACTGTTCGATGGTTCCATTATTCGATGGTTCCACTGTTCGATGGTTTCACTGTTCCATCGTTCCATTATTCGATGGTTCCGATGTTTTTTTTTTTTAATTTTTTTTACAGAGAGGTGCGATGTAGTAGCTGTTCTATAGAGTGAAGAGATTGGCTGAATAGACCTAGGGTAGGATAAGTGTTGCTAACATTAATAATCATTCTATTAATACCTGAGTGGTATGCAAAAGTGATTTTATCTTGTTGTATATGAAGAAAGTTGTATCACCTTAAATGAAAAGTTGGAACATTGATTGAGAATTTTTCTAATATATCAAAACAATTTATAAGACCATTGAGCACTTTATAAACAAAAAGAATATCAGAGATTTCTCTCCTTCTTTCTAACGTTGTTAAATCGAGTGATGAGAGTATAAATTCATAGTTATCACAGGTAACTGACTCAGGTTGCCCAATATGTCGTGAAGCTAAACGTAGGAATACTTAATAGTTTGAGTTAGTTTAAAATTGCGATTTTAAACTAACCAAAATTGCTAAATGGTAAATAAATATATCATTTCATTACACATCATACGTGTATTTTTAAAAATAAGATAATTAATGTTATATTATATTATATTCTGTTGTATGTTATATATAATTTATAAGATCCTTGAACACTTTATATACAAAAAGAATATCAGAAATTTCTCTTCTTCTTTCTAACGCTGTTAAATTGAATGACGAGAGTATGAATCCATAGTTATACATGCCCTTTCCCTCCTTCCCCTTTTATTTCTCACCCTACATTACCGATACATCATATTTGCGAATAGAAATGTTTGCTCTGCTCTAAATTGGTCTGTGCACAAGAGGATACTACTATCAAACTCCTCAATAGCACATACTGTACACTGCTCGTGTAATAGAACATCCACGTAACAGGTGTTCGCATAACGGAGCTTCCGTTGCAATTTAATCCCATTATATATCCAGTAATAATTAACATTCGATACATCCCACGTCTTCATCCCTCACGTCTGAAGCTTAAAAATCATCATCAATCGTCTCATGATTTCTCACAGTCTACAGGCTCTTTCACACCGATCCGGATGAAACAAGCCATCCTAATTTTTCCAATAGCGTATCCCGATGAATGGAAAATAGTCAATCTTGCCCGATTGCATCCGCATAAATTTTCTTATTTGTCGAAAAGTATTCAAAAATTATTCATATCCCATATGCACGCGTGGAACGTTTGCACTACGAATAAGGGCACGGGGGTGGCAGGGTGGCAGGGGGTGAGAAAGAGAGACGGTACGATGTAGGGGCTCCGAAGGACACTGGGAGAACGAGAGAAACGGTATAGAACAAATTTGGCGAATTTCCATATAAATTTGCTGGGCAGAAACGACACTCACGCACACAACACGCACAGAAGCACACGCACACGCGCTGCTCGCAAAACAAGCGTTATCACGAGCTCGTGTGACCCCATGTTCCATCTAACACTTTCGATAGCGGCCGCTATAAATTCGCAAACTAATTATGGATCGTTTTCATATACCCAATCGAATCAATGATTCGTCGAACGTGTGTTTGTTAATCGAGTTACCGCGGATTTTCCAAGCACGTGTTTGCCTCCGTGTTAATTATTGCGTCTTCCGTATTCCCATTTTCGCGTCTCATCGGCGTATGTACCTCTTGGAATACAGCGTATAATGCTAAATTTAATTTGTAAGTTGAAATCCACGGTAAGTCGCGGATTGTAATATTTCGTACGACGCGATGCAAAGTTCGAGTAAAAATTTATATCACTCGCTATGCAATTTCGCTGCGAACAAAGTTTCGCTTTGTTATTCAACGATATTCATATTCAAGTTTTTCGTGTTTTAGTTTCAGTATCTTCCGACATAAATTATTTTAATAAAGGGATCCGTAACGGAGTAGAACGAAAAAGAACGCTCATTCTGTTAATTAAATTTGAAAGTGTAAGTCTCTTTGAGTAATTTGACGAAGCTTCTCTTGCTAACGTTTCATTTCGAATTTAAAAAAGCAAATATATATCGATCGCGGTATAGTAAGTCGTGCAATTTATTTTTTCACCAGCTACATTGCCCTGGCGGTAAAATCGCAATATGGTATTTAAAAACGTCAAGATGATTTTGAATTTTTAACGAAGAATGTCTTTGAACATTTTTTTGAAACATTCGCGTTTGTAGTTAATTGGATATTAATTTATTTTCGTTCGAGATATTTTTTCCTTTCATTATTCTAAACGTTTGAAAAATTCTGCGGTATATATATATATATTAGGTGAAGTAAAAAGAAATCTATTATTTTTATAAATACAAATACTGGAATATTCAGGTGGTGGCCAATATTGTTAACCTACTTCGTCTTTCATTATGTTAGGTGTAGTAAAAAGAAATCCATTATTTTTATACTCAATTTCATGCAAAAATAATGGATTTCTTTTTACTTCACCTAATATATTCTAAAGATTTATAATTAATATTATTGAAATACGTTATTAAAATAACGTAACGAAACATGAAATATTAGAACAAATATTAGATACATAGGTATATTATAACTATATAAAAGGAAACTTTGAGTGTAAATATATATATATATTTGACATTATTCTTTTTATTTTATCTTTATATTACCCTTTTTATATTATTCGGAAAATAATATAAATTAAAATAAAATAAAATAAAAAGAGTAATGTATATATATACAGGATATATTATTCGGAAAATAATGTAAATTAAAATAGGATGAAACGAAAAATGTAATGTTAATATGTTAATTGATTTACATCGTCCTATTGGACATAAAAATTTGTAAAATATTATCTTCTCTCATTTTCCTTTAATCTTATTAATTTTTGAAAAATCCTGGGTTAGTAATAGGATGAACACACTGTATACTGTATATTACAAAATATTATAATATATTAAATATTATAATAAATATTGTATATATAATATCAAATATTATATATAGTAAATATTATATGTATTACAAAATATTATGAAATAACACATATACAGTCGATTAAAATCGAGTAAAAAATCTGCCCTAAAAATTACTTCGGCATAAATACTATATTTTCCTATAGGGACATATGGTTATTTCTGTTAACCTCTTTGCACTATAATAACGAGTCTAACTCGTCATGAATTCTTGTCGAATATTATAATTATACGGTTCACCTTTCACACGATCAAAATTATATTTAACTCGTCTTAACGTGTACAAAATTTTCTTTTCTTCAATCTATTTTTTATTTTCATTACTCATTATTCGCCCATGAAAATGTTGTAAATAAACCATTGTAAATCAAATTTCTTAATAAAGAAATTTATTTTTTACAATTTCTTATTCTACTATATATTTGTTACAAAATAATAAGAATACAATCTAAGGAAAACAATTTTCTATAGCAATCTTATTTATCACAGAAAGAACACAAAAATATAAATAATTATTACATATAGGAATTTTGTTAGTAAAATATTAAGAGATTATTCGAATCGCATTTTTATAGCAAAAGAATCTTCAAGTGCAAAGGATCAAGGTGATCGATAAAAGTGCATGAGGCCGAAGCGCAAGTGAAATTAGCATTAGGCATTGAAATGATTAATTAGTTTAACGAACTATCACGATCTCTTTTTATTACAATTTCAGCATTCGATGCTATACTTCTTTCATCACTACGAGCTGCCCGTGATCCTGCAGCAGGATCAATTACAGAACCTTCTATTCCGCAATCATCCGCAGGCTGGAATGGCGGAACCCACACCCGCGCAGCCTTCGCCAAGTATAAATCAGGCATTGACCAGTATGGCACCAATACCTGAAACTTCACCAGCACGAGAGTCGACGATTGTCAGGGAACCTGAACCGACACAAGAGACACTCCCGAGTCCACCGCAGGATGAGTCGGACTCGGCTGCTCCTGATGCTCACGCAGAGGAGCAAGTTGAACCCGCAATGGAAACTACTTCATTGGCCGACGAACAAAGTAACGAAGGCAGGAATGATTTACGTTACGCGATAGCTTTTAGATCATGCATTTCCCTCGAATTAATTACCTGCATGTGAATGTCGATCCCGTTCGCTGTTCTCCATTTCCCTTTGTTTTCGTTCTAATCTCGTATTAATCTTTGACAACCACTTTGTTACCTTGTTTTACCCTGGGAACACCCTGGAAAATATGTATTACGTTGTAAAGTGTTAGCCAAAATTCGTATATACCTTTTTCTTATCAGGGATAACCTGGCAGGTGTGAGCAACTGTATTGCTCTGCATTTGCAAAGATGACGGTGGTAATTAAAATAGCTATATATATCTTTTATTTTATATATATGTATTTAATATTTATTTATTTATTTAATATTTAATGTTATTTAATATTTATATATATATAAAATAAAAGAAATTGTTTAACGACACATTCAACTCTGTTTATGCGAACGTTACACAGACGTGACTTTACTTGATAGATATACTTATTACTATACTACTACTATTACTATATTACTTATTACTATACTATACTTATTACTAAGAGTCATAAGTATCATAAGTAGTATATATATGATACATATTTCAGAATTAAATCACACTGTAATAGCATATATATATATATATGTCACTGCATAGTATATATATATGATACTTATAATACTTATGATTTTTAGTACAAACAACAATGGTTGTATCAGTGATGTCTGTATAACGTTAGCATAAGCATAATTCAGTGTGTCGTTAAACAATCTTTTTTTTTATTAATTTTTCGGAAATTGTTAATTACTCGAAGTTAAAATTCTAGATTCCGGTTCTTCTCCCCCTATCCCTTCTTCCAAATTTTGTCTTAATTAGCCATTTATTATTGGCGTTATTTGGAAGAACATACTAAATTAATTTATAAATACTTGATATAGATATTTGGAATGTTACCACTCTGTTATTCGCGTAATTCGTGATTTTATTTTTGATATGTGTAATCAGTTTTTTAATACTTTTATTTCATCATTTTTAAAGTCCTTTTTCCAATTTTTCTTTTTATTTTTCTCTTTAAATCCTGTCACTTAATCGGTCATGTATAGTATTGACAGTATTAATTATTCTAGGAAATATAATATATCCGTCGATTTTCTGCAAAATCGTGCGAATTCGAATTTTCTAAAACACCAAATTTTGTCGTAATTTCTAACAGAAAAATTCGGGACTGCTTGACCGATTCTTATAAAATAATTCCTCCGTGCCCCCATTTGGATATTTAACTCGCGAAGTTACTTCGAAATAAATGATTTTAATACCACCGCGTTGTCCGATGGGTAGGTTTTCCGTTTTCGTTAAAATTCGTTGATTTATCCCGATTGTTTTCGTTGCAAACAGAACGCTATTAATTTCATCGGAGTGAAGAAAAAAGCAACCAGTTCGAATTATTTTACAAAGTTGGACGTACTGTTTGTAGGTCTTGTTACAAATGCCATTGCGAAGCGTTATTCGCTGAAGGATATTTTATGATCGCATTTCACTCCGGGCTGATTCAACGTTGCCACTGGTAATCTTTCTCCTTTTCAACTTTATTTGTTACGTTATTCACCGATCCTCTCCGCGAGTAAAACCGATACTTGGAATAATTTCTGCATACGTAACGCGCATATTTTTTACCGGAAATAACGCTCCACGGTTCAATTAACGGGGTAAACAAATTCGCATGTGGGAATTCATTTGCGATCCGTGTTCTTTCCATATTCGAACGAATTCAATCGCGGTATTTATCATTTCTGCTTTGATCCAGCCCCACCGTCGGATATTCCTCCACGCCATGATCTTTTTGCAGCGCGCATTTCGACCGCCAAATCTTGCCGTGCAAGTAATTTTATACTTCGTAATTTCGCCGAATATCCGTCGTACTTCAGTCGCATTTCATCGATCCCTTCGCACAATATTAATTTTCATAGAAGACTCTTTGCAGCCATACGTCCGCTTCAATAGCTCCGCTCTCATAAGCAGACAACGCTGTTTTCTGATACGCTTACGCACCGCTTTTTCTCACCCTCTTGTTGTTCATTTATCACCGCATCTATGTTCTCCCTTTTAATCCCGTCGTATAATCTCCATTTCGCTGAAAAATATATTTCGACAATCATAATTCGCGCCAACTACCGAACAAAACGCGTGACGCGTAATATTTTCTGTAACATTATCGAAAACGCAGTACGTGGATGTATTTTAAACTGATTATAGGAAACAGCTCGTATCATTTTCCAATCGGTGGTTCTGTTTTTGAAACGTTCGTGAAACATTTGTTATTGTACTCTAGGAACGAAGAAATTAGATTTGATCGTGTGTCCAGCTATTAAGTGCTCTACTAAGTACTATATTATTGCGTCACAGGAGAAACCGTGACCAATCATACATGACCAACGTGACAGTCAAAGTGTTAATACTATTGGGTTGGCAAGAAAGTACTTTCGGTTTTTTAGTGTGAAATAAAACTCAATTTTTTCTATACAGTAAATGAACTTTAATCGGTCAAATATCTTCCATTCTATTCGATGACCTTTCGCCATCTTTCTGGCAACTTCGTGATCCCGCGCTCATAGAATTTCTGGTCCTCATCTGCAAAAACTTAACCAAGTGCGTAAATCTCAGAAGCTCGACCAGAACGTTGTGGGTATCTTTCAGTGAAAAATCTTCAGAACGAAATTTTTTAAACTAATTCTGACACGTGCGTTCTGTTAAACAATCAACACCATAAACTTCTCGTATCTCTTTGCGAGCCTCAGCCGCATTCTTGCCTTTATGAAAATAAAAAAGTAAAATGCGTCGAAAATGCTTATTTTCGCACTCCATGTTAAGACTGACCGTGAACTGACAGTTATAAACGAAATTACACGGAATTTCACGAAATAGCAACCTAAAGGTATCGACTGCCACATCTGAAAAGAAAAAAATTCTAACTTTGACAAAAGAATAACTAAACAAGCATAACATTATTTACTGGTGCAAACCGAAATTACTTTCTTGCCAACCCAATATTTCCTTCGCTAGAGTCCTTCACAGCTCGCAGTACCACATTTGCATGGATTTGACAATACTTTTCGCAATTATATTAATGCATTGAAATTCGAAATACCTTTTAAATTCGCCTGTTAAACTTTTTTATAATCGAAATCGTTAATTGGTGACTGTAATTTGTCAAAATTAATTGTGCATTCTGAAAATGGTCCGTCCACATCGTGCAATGAAACCTGTGTATATTTAACTTCGTATCAACGTCGATCTGCTATATTCATCGGTCTCTGTACTCTCTCGTTGCTTGAAGCACTTGAAATTTGTTATAATTCATCGAATCCTGCATTTCCTTCCCGAATAGTATTAATTTTATCATTTTGTGCTTACTTTTTGCACTCGTGCACAGTGCACATCGTCACAGATGTTTCTCCATTTCATCGACAAACTTGATCCTCTAGGAAGAATAAAATCGACAATGTACACACGCGTACACGTAATTTCCATGTTTTCCGGGAGTTCCTTGACATTGTTTGAATAATCGGCTACGATGCTTAAACGTATCGACTTACCTTTCCGTTCACGAAAAGAGTCCAGCCACGATTGATCCAGTTTGCTAATTGGCCACGAGGTGTTGTCTTTTAATCTTCCTGTCGCTTTCTGTCTTGCTTCTCTTAGCCATAACACCCGGTTCTGCTGAACGTTCCTTTGAATCTTAGCAGCAGAGAGCCCGTCGGAGTCAACAGCGCCGGATTCGAATACCGTCGCAGAGGCGAGCACGGAGCCGAAAACAGAAGCAGCGATATCTGGTAACGTCGCGTCCTCCTCGAAGATCGGGGACAATAGATCATCGACCGATGCCTCTACCTTGGAAGGCTTCGAGATGATCGAGGCTACCGAGACGACGTGGAAGGAAGCGACATCCTGTCAAGACAAGTAGAGGAACACTGAACGCCCCGAGCCGTGCCAGTTGCACATTGCTGTTAGGGTAGTCCGGAAGAGAAGAGGTTGTCATCTCAACGTGGTTGCATCTGCAAATAGAACGTCTTGGGGCTGAAGACCTCGGGACTTGGCGGACAATCGTGCGGAGCAGAGATCAGCCATCTTGACTCCGTGGATTATGTCAGGGATCTAATTACAGCGTTTATTTTATAATCGATCGATGTCGAAGCTCTGAAAATTTGATCATTTGACAAAAGCTGAAAGCAAATCGAAGAGATGGGAAACGTAGGGGTAGTTTGACAGCGATAGCTGGCAGATGTTAGGTTTTAACGAGTAACCTGGGATCTTGGGGTCCAGGACGCGTGAAACGGGATAGCCAGTGACTGGATTTCATCGCGCATGGTACCAGATCGCTTGAAAATATACTCCTTCTGCCTGTCAGGCTAACGTACGCGGTATCTCGTGTCCTCGGGGTCGGGGAGGAAACGCGAAACTCGGGAAAAAGCGCAAGAAGCGTGTTCCAAGTTCATTGTATACATCGCAACTGTACGAACAGTATCGGGAAATTGACTTCGAGTACGATGAAATTTTTTATTGACAAATCTGCACGAAGCTTTCGTCGGACCGCACCTTGCCGTTGTTATCACCATTACTGATAATTCCCGTTGAGAATTTTAGAGAACCACACAGACAATTCGCAGTGTATCAAGCGAATTCGATACGTACGATTTTTATCTACCGTTCGTTCCCTCGGTATACGATCATTGTATCCAATGACGTGGACTAGCGAGACCACAGTTCCCGGACGCGACAAGTTCCAGTTCCTTCAGCCGATATTCTTCCTTTCTCGCTCCTTTGCGTTTATTCCACGTCACGTGCAAATAGACTTTACCCATCTGGACGAATGTTAGCCATAGCGAAGCATCTGAAGCCGAATTTTCGAATTTTCTCCGTGTCTCACTTTGCCTAACTCCTCAATGCGATGTTACCTGTTCCCTCTGAACCGAGTCGTCAAATTTCGCGTTTTTCTCTCCGGATCACAGTTTGGCAACTGTTGATAGATCGATCGCGTTGATCCATGTATTCAGATTCGACGGGATCGCGATTTCCTGAGAGTGACCGAGCCATCTGCTGTCAACCGCGAGTCTTCGCAGCGTCGTTCGCGCGGACCAAAGGCTTTGTACGTTGTGCAAACGTGTGAACGTTCTATCTCGCGGCAAGTTGTGCAACATTTTGTTACGACTCGGGGACTTGGTTGAGCAAGGGAATTGTGGTACGCTAAAGATGCGCCGGTGTCACGCGAAACGTTGAAGTTATTCCATGTTACGCGAGATCAGAGACTCTCGATTGAAACGGCGAAAGGGGGACGAAGCGAACGAGAAGAGAGTGGATTAATGGAAATATATTTTACTTTTTATATGTTTTACCTCGATCGATGTGAAATCTCCATATTGACACGGCCGAACGTGGTTGGTCATGGTAAATACTACCATTTTATCGCGTATCCGAGATGAAGCGACGCTGCGAATACGTTAGAGATCTCTGTGCCAGCCGATCGTGTTTCCTCTTATTCGCTTCTTTCTTCTCGTTTCGATGAGCCTTTCTACCAGTGGTGATCGTGATTTTTAACGCTTATCGAGTATCGATTTAAGGAATCAAATTTTAACTGGTAGTGGTAAGCCATGTCAGGATTAACTGGCGACAGAACGTGTTAAAAGATACTTAGTGCACATATATACATATACATATACATATATATATATAAATATTTATTCTTTACCATAAACGTTCTTCTATCGTGTATATGTAAATTTATTGTGAAAAAATACCCGTGTCCATGGTATTCGAAACATTGGAGCACTGTGTACATCTTGCGTGTAAAGATCAGCGAGAGGACACATTAGAAGTTGTAAAGTATAGTAACAGGCCGAGGAGAAAGGAAAGGAAGAGAGAACACGAAGATCAATCATCGTTTTAACGTTTCGAATTCGATCCGTCTGTGTAAAATATTTTCCTAAACTATTTGCATCGTAAAAGTCGTTTCTTTTTCTTATTATTTCTTTCATGGTTGGTTGTACATAATATTACATTACGATTATTATCATTATGCTACTGCTATTCTTATTGATATATTATAAATAAACGTAAAGGTGTTGCAATTCCGGATCTTCGTCTGTGTTACTTTATAGTAATTCGTAGAGTAATTCTGTAGTTTAGGGACTTTCCTCGAGTTTGGCTGTTTGGTCTCAGCTGAAACATCGTTTTAATTTTATTCTCAAAATTTTCCAACGTTTCTGTCATTTTTAATTACCATTTAGAAAACAAGATTTAGAAGAAATCTTCCCTATGTACGTACATTTATATATATAACTGTCACTTAGTTGTAGCTTCATATGTATTGGTAAAAAATTATCGACACTACTGTCTTGTGTTCATGCCCCTTTTGTTTCCGCTCTAATGCAAAATCACCAAATTAATTTTATAGTCTATCAAATTTAATTATTTAATTTACCCAGATTCCTTAATTTCGCGACGAAATGAAAGTCAAATATACAAAACCGGGGAAAGCCCTTAAACTACGAGACTGCCTTTCTCGTCGTCGACAGGAAGAAGCCTTCTCGGTCGTACACGGTCACTCCTTTCGAATTTTCGAATTTTCGGACTTGGTGAAAAAGTAGAACGAACACCGACGCCAATTCGAGATCCCCTAAAACGAAATTGCTGCGCAGATGATCGATGCAGTGAGTTGGTATCGTTCCGATCGTCGAATTCCTCTGGTCGTGAAAACCTCGGGTCCCGGCGAAACACGGAGAACGCGAGATTTAAAAGAGATTCCCGTGAAATTGGAATTGATTGTTGAAGCGAGACAGCGCCGGGTACGAGTCGTAGGTCGAATCCTGTCGAAGACGCGGCTTCCGGTAGGGTGCGAGGCGTGGAAGCGCCGAATTAGACGGATAGATAGCGGTTTCGGATAGAATCAAACAGGTGGCGTGGCGGAGTTCGAGGCAGGCGGCCGGCAGGTCGCGCGTAAGATGGAGGAAATCCTTTTCACCCTGTCGCGGGGATAGAAAGGGGTGAAACGAAACGGGAGAGTGATGTTGCGAAAACGTCTGAGGGGACACGACAGTCGTACAAACGTAACGATTTATTTTCATTACGACATAATTAGGGACGAGACCCGTGATTCGATGCGCTCTCCACGCTCGCCGCTACATCTACGCACGGACACGCCCTGGTCGAGGATGTTTTGAACCTGAGGGTACACGGTTCAATCGATAGGGGGTGTCCACGCGCTGCGTTAGTCGCTTGGATTTCGTGCATAGAATTAAGCAGGCGTCGAAGGGATTTCTTCGCTCCCGGATCAGCTTGATGAAGATGGCGTTCGGTTTCGACACGGTCAGAGCTTGGTAATATTTATTGGGAACATACTTCAAATGATCGATAATGCATTCTTTGCAATTTAGATAAAGTAGTATTACGAGTAAGAATCTAATTTTTGATAAATAAAATGTTTTGTTTTGGTAATTTTAGTTTGAGGCACGAAGTAAATATTTTATTTCGATAATTTAAGTTGCTTTTACGTAAGTAAGACGTGAATATGTATTATATTTCTGACAGTTCTTAATGTGAAAATAAATTTCGAAAGTGATAAATCGACATTTGCAGATACGAATGAATGAAACGAATAAAATATTCCAAGCTATGGCACAAATACTTTCGGTGTTCTCAAATAAAATATTATTTTACAATTTGTTCGCGATGAATAAAATATTTTATTCTCATAAGTAGATATTTTCTGACAAATAAAATATTGGATATGTAGGAGCTAAAGTAGAATGTTTATTTACTATTTCTCATTTAAAATAATACTTTATTATTATAGTTTATTGGCATTATCAGTTCGTGGCTGCAGGATTTTTTCTTAATTAGTAGAATATTAATATTTAATAATTCTTCAAATTTTCTTATTTTATTTTCTTTTTAAATCGTATTTTCTTGAACTTTTATTTTTGCTCTACTCTTTTACAATGGATTGATACACTTGTTTTTCTCTTTGTGTAAAAGAATCGCATGAAAGAGTCGCATAGAAATTGATTTGCAGCAAAGGAATAAAACTCGTGTTACAGTAATGCAATACTGCGTATATGCTTTAAGAGAAAAACGTGGAGAACAAATACAGCTTCACTGTACAGTGGCATTGTAATATATCTGACTTATATTTTCTTTGAATCCTGCAAAAATAAGTATACCATATACACGAAAGTATAAAAATAAATAAAACATCTACAGTGCGCGACAAAATAATGGCACATCCTGAGATTTTCAGTGTTTCTCGAGTAACTTCAAAGCGATTCATCTTGTCAAGCAGAAGATCATACGATTATAAATAAAATTTGATTTTACAAAGCAAGGTTACCTCTGTAAAGTGCAGGCGATAAAAATATTAGGAAAAGAAGTACTATCTTTGAGGAATATTACCATAAATATACCAAAAATCATGCTTTTTATTTATTTATATTCCGAACCTAATACGACAGTGTATGCGTGTATGTAAAATAAACAAGGGACCTTTTCATTCTCAAAAACCAAAATTTCGTCGATTCATGGTCTCATACCCACGTTATCATTTTGTCAGCAATTTTCAATTTAAATTCTTAAAAATTAAAAAAAAAGAGAGAGAAGAAATGTAATATCTTCTTCTGTATTTTAAAAAAAAAGGATGCATTATACGAGTTCTTACGTGACATTTGCACAGGTTGCATTCGTCTCGAGAAATACTGAAAATTATAATATGGACCGTTTATTTTGACAGTGGTGCAAGTCCACTTTCAATTGTTTCGAGTTTCGAGAAAATTAAAGATTAGCATATTTGCCAATTAAAAAATATAGGTTAATTATATTAGGTTAATTATATTATTTTTCGTTATTATTTATAAACAAAATTGGATTTATACGAAATATATTTTAAGTGATATTTAATTTTTCGAAATTGAAATTAAATGATTTTTACAATTGACTAATTATGAAAGTGGCGTGAGTCTATTTGAAGCCTGTAAATATTCATTGTTTTAGATAAATTCGCCTACAAGAAATTTATATAATCAAATTATACATTGATAAATTAGTAGAAACATCGTCAGACCAAATATAATTAACCTATATTTTTTAATTGGCAAAATTCCAAAATACAGAAAGAATAAGCGAAAGATGTTTCCATAATTTCGTTGCTATCTCGTTCTTCCAGGCTCGATTAACACTAAGCATACTAAGCGAGGTCAAATAACCTTTTTCAAAATTTACTTTATAATCGTACATTTATTGTTCACTTATTTATTTATTTATTTATTTCGTTGTTATCTCTATTCTTCGAGGCTCGACTAACACTAAACGTACCATGCGAGGTCAAATAATCTTTTTCAAAATCTACTTTATAATCGTACATTTATTCTTCATTTATTTATTTATTTATTTATTTATTTCGTTGCTATTTCGATTCTTCGAGGCTCGATTAACGCTAAACGTACTCAGCGAAGTCAAGTGACCATTTTCAAAATTTACTTTATAATCGTACATTTATTGTTCATTTATTTATTTATTTATTTATTTATTTATTTCGTTGCTATCTCGATTCTTCGAGGCTCGACTAACACTAAACGTACCAAGCGAGGTCAAATAATCTTTTTCAAAATCTACTTTATAATCGTACATTTATTTATTTATTTATTTATTTATTTATTTATTTATTTATTTCGTTGCTATCTCGATTCTTCGAGGCTCAACTAACACTAAACGTACCAAGTGAGGTCAAATAATCTTTTTCAAAATCTACTTTATAATCGTACATTTATTGCTCATTTATTTATTTATTTATTTATTTATTTCGTTGCTATTTCGATTCTTCGAGGCTCGATTAACGCTAAACGTACTCAGCGAAGTCAAATGACCATTTTCAAAATTTATTTTATAATCGTACATTTATTGTTTATTTATTTATTTATTTATTTATTTATTTATTTCGTTGCTATCTCGATTCTTCGAGGCTCGGTTAACACTAAACGTACCAAGCGGGGTCAAATAATCTTTTTCAAAATCTACTTTATAATCGTACATTTATCGTTATTTCTTTCGCTCATCTGACATTCTGTAAATTTTTATACTATCTGACCGTTTAATTTCTAGCTCTCCGTTTTTCTCTTATTTTTCACCGAGAAAAATTCTTTGCATACCTTGCCGATCTTCGCAGCCTGTCTATACAGCAAGCTCACCTTTTCGTCAAATCTCTTCTCACGGAAGTCGTGCGCCGATCTCGAGGAAGAAACGAACGGACAGCTTTCTCCAGATCGAGATTGAAAAGGGTTCACCTCGTGAACAATGCAGGAAGGGGAGTGCACGGTATCGGTGGGCAGTCGGAGGATTTTCGTGTGTCCCGGAAGCTCGTGTACAGATTTATCCATCGCTGAAGGGCGAGTAGCGCAGCGAGGAGAAGGGTGAGAATGGGGGCGGGGTAGAGGGGAAAACAGAAAGCCCACGGGGGTCGAATTTGCATCCGGCAAAGCAACCTCAGACTACTTTATTTGATTGGCTACCCGCAGGGTTGCCTTCCACTTCCACGAGCCTACGCGAAAGTACATTATCGTATTTCTCTTCTCTCTTTCATCCGATTCGCCTCTATCTCGCCGTCGTTCTTTATCTTCTGATCTTCCTCGTCTGGTCTCTTAAATTTTATTAACCTTCTCCCCTTGTAATTCTTCGTCTCCTCCATTCGCCTACCGATCTTCCACTCTTTCTCCCGGTCCAGTTCCTTTTGTTTTCCTTGTAATTTCAAAGGAACGCTTCGCGACCTGCAGGCCATGCTCCAACCTAAAGAGCCTTGTTAGCACAGTCTTCCCTGCATCTCGAACAGCGGAAGAGCAAGCTCCTATTCTCGACATGCCTCTGTGAGATCACGTGTACGAATATTTTTCACGTTCTTGTTTTCGTCATGATCGGACCGAGGGATTCGGGTTTTATCGATTTGTGTAGGTACGGTGTTGTTCTCTCTTTTTATTTTTATTTTTTTTAATTATTTATCTTTTAATGTTAATGGCTGCTTTCGATTGCGAAAGTTCGTCGCGCGAGAATTTGTCGAAACCGATGGAATTGCAGTAGACTCCAGTATGACGCGAATCACTCTAATGCTTAATTCCTTGTTCAACGATCGATACGAAAGTATTTTTCAGGTTGCATTTAGGTGATCGAAGCTTCGAATGAAGTTCGAAATTCGGGATTTCGAAAGTTTCGAAAATTTCAAGCTAATTAATATCGAACATACTCTAATGTCGATCACACTTTGAAATAACATAATAATCGTGATTTAGTTAATTATTCACTTCTCATCATCGATGACAAGAAATTAATTTTTAAAGTTTTTATTTTAATTTTTCCCCTTGATTCTCCGAGACCATTTTTATTCCTTTCAAAAGTTGTCGAAAGTACCAAAATGGCGATGGTTTGTAGAAGAAATATTCGTAGAATTAATACACTTTCTAGTTAATTAATATCGAATATGCCCTAATATCGTTCACACTTTGAAATAACATAATTATGATTTAGTTAATTATTCACTTCTCATCAACAATGATAAGAAATTAATTTCAAAATTCTTTGTTTCAATTTTTCTTCTTAAAGTTTCTTAAATTCTCTGTGAGTATGTAGATATAAAAGAGATTGTACATATGTACTACATACGTGTTGTTGATAATGAAAGTGGTCCAAGTCTGCACTTCTCTCTTGCAGAGCTCCTTGGTCCAGGCAGTGAGCTCGCTGTCAGAGCCCATAATTTACATCAGGGTTCCAATAACCAAACTCTCCCTCAAGAAGTTGGAGGAAAACCGCGAGCCAAGAACAGTCGAAGGTCGTTACAGTTCGCTCGCAAATGTTTCGATACTTTGCAAAGATAGTTCCACGTCGAATAGACGCAGTGCAAAGTAAGCGAAGAATAGGTTTCTTCCAGATTTTTCACCCATATCACTTTTATTTTCTTATTAACGCTACGATATCTGTGCAGGATTATCAAGCATAGGAAACTGAGATCACTCGTTTTACCCAGATTGGCCTGAACGCCTTCTAAGAGGATATTTTATTTACAATATTACCTTTCCAAGCTTAAATAATTTTCAATTTTCCTGATCGGTGACCTTCGCAATTAGGCTTACGAATTTTTACAAATACAGGTGGCCCTCGACTTTCGCACATTCTATTTTCGCACAATCCGCTATTTTTTAAATAATAAACTTTTTAAGCCTTTCTGTCAAGAAAAGAAAGAAAATGGTGGTATTCAACTAACTCTTGACAAGTTTATAAAGAAATATCCGAAAGCATTTAACTCTTTTAGTGCCGAGCGAAAAACGGGTGCCCATGCGAAGACAACCGGACGAATTTACTAATAAAAACCAAACTAAGAATGTTACTTAAAAAATTCAAAATGCAGCATATTACCGAAGAAAGGGAGAATAATGTAATGCCAATTGTGTTTCGATATTCGTTGAAAATCGTG